GTCGCCTCCGCCGTCGTTCGAGCCGCCGCCAGCAAAGCCTCGGCCTCCTCCTTCAGCTTGGACTCGATGGCCGCCCTTCGGGCCGCCTCGACCGAGTCTCCCACGGGCCTTTTGCTGCGGCGGCCCCGGGCGGAGGGCCACCCAGCTGCGAGCCCGCGGTGGCGGGGGCCGCGCCAGACGCACTAGGTATAGGCGCAAGTGTCGGCGCAGGCGAACCCTCGCGACGACGCTTGGCAACCCCCTTCCAGCAAGGCCACGTTCCGCTCCCTGTGTTGTTCAGGCTTCGCGTGGGCCTTCCCGAAAAAAACGCTGTGGCCACGTGCGCGCGGGCATTCATTGCCGTGTTCTTCCGCTTGTGAGCCCCCTCCACATCCTTAGTTTCGATCAGCCCGTCGCCATTGCTGAGCTCCACCCCAAAGAAAATGAAAAGCAAGGAGCCATGCACACCCGACGCTGACACAAGCACAAACACATCGATGGTACTGCTAGCCCACCTGTCCAAGACTCTTAGAATGTGGCTTCGGCGGTACCGAAGAACGAAAGAGAGTCGGCTCCTGCTCTGCCTCCGCCAAGCTCGCTGCAGCCCCCCGCAATGTCTTTTTGCATTTCTCGAAGCAAATGGTGAATTTTACCAGCTGAAATTGAGCGTTGTCGCAGGCCGCCTGGACCCTCTGGAGCGTCGGGTCCATCCACAGGAGCCGCCGCACGAGTAACTTCCAAGAGAATATGAGCAGCCTTCGCCTGGTCCAAGCCCGCCTTGAATTTGATGTTCGCCTGAAGCTGGGCTTCGAGCGTCTCCGCGCCCTTGCCCTTGCCCTTTGCCGCCGCCATCTGTCCCCGTGCCCCCAAGCTTCGCAAACCCATCCTCAAGATATGGCTCGTTGCTGTACACAGTTTCGCGCAGGCACGTGTTCTTATACATTTGCAACATCGGCACCCTGGCCCATCGCGCGCAAGCTGTACACTGAACCTTGAAGTCTCGACGTTGAGATTGCTTGAGACACGTCGACGGAAGTCTCGACCCACCTGGCAATGCCGACGGCGGCGGCGGAAGCATGACCCCCCTTGAGGCTGTTCATTACGCCGCACGCCATGGCGCCCATGGTTTCCCAGAGACTCGTCGGCCAGAGGGGGCTCTGCGGACCCGGGGCCAGAGACAAAAGAGGCCACGGATCGTCCCAGGGAGCCTCTGCGCATTGCGCCTGTCACGACCCATTTTTTCCCCTTTTGGCATGGTTTTACCCTGACCGACTACGGACCCCACTCCATGTCTAGGGACGTCGGATCCCATCCGGAATCACGTGGAAATTGCCGCTGGTTGTGAAATCTCAAGGCGCCCTCTCGGAACCGCAAACAATTGGGGCCAAAGCGACTTGAGCCAAAATGGGTTCGGAGGGAGCGGGAGAATGGGGAAAGAACAAGACGCAGAGGATATTCAGCACCAGCAGAGCACGGACAGGAAGGAGAAGAAAGGGAGGCGGAGGATACAAATGGAGGGCGACGCCCTTTTCAAAATGGGGCGTTCCACCTAGCGTTACGCGCGCTCGTCTGACATGTTACATGTATTGCAACAGCTGCAGGAATGGAGGGTGTATCGTTTTCAAGAAACGGTTGCCTCGCCGTAGCGCCGCACCTAATCGCTTCCAACGTTGGCACCAACTACAAGAATGTAACACGGCTCTTTGTCCGAATGCTGTTCCAGCTTGGCACATTCTCGACAGTGATTAACAGACACAAGCGTAACTACACAACTAATGCACGGATGGAGGGCGGAGGGCGGCCCGCGCGGAGAGCGGCCCGCTTTCAAAACGAAGTTATCACCCAAACGTTCCTCGCATTGGATGGCCAGACAAGTAAATTTGCGCAGCCGTTGCACGGATGGGGGGCGGTTCCTATTCGTAGCGGGGCGTTCGCTGGAAATTTCGGGGAAGTTGTGACCATGGCCTTCCCGCGCGACGTCTGGCTCGCCAAGAACATGCACGGCAGGTCCTCTTGCCAAGGGGTCCCTCGCGTGATTTCCTAGGTTGTGGGGCGTTCGTCTTCCAGGGGGGGCGCTGCCTGTAGTGGAAGAGATCCTGTAGGGAGATCTCAGGACGGGACTCGGGCCGGCGGGTGACTTGCAACATTTTTGATGCATCCTGGCTGGCTTCACCCTGGTCATCCGACCCCCGCTCGGAGCATCGCGGGAGGGACGGGAAGAGGCGGGGGCAGAAGGAAACACATGGCGCAGAAAAGATAGAGCCCAAGGCCCTCCGTGGGACGATTCCGGCACCCCCGGAATAGGAGCTCTCGGCGAGGCGCAGCTGCGTAGTCTTCTCTGGCGAGACGCAGCTGGTCGTGGCGCTCGGGATCCATCCTCGCCAGCCAGGGGCGGGCGGAGGCAGGATCGGGAGCAAGAGGACGAGAACGCTAGGAAAAGGGGGGGGGAGGAGGGACAGGGCGGAGGACGATCGAGGACCAGGACAGTCCGGATGAGGAAAGCGAGCAGGAGCAGCGGCAGTAGCACAACAGCGATGAAAGGGAGGAAGGGGTGCGAAGAGATGGCAGATAGGATGGATGCCAGAGCTAACCGGAAGGGCACCAGGAGAACCAAGAGGACAAGGACAGGGGCGAAGACGGAAATCAGGAACGGAGGGCGAGGAGGAGCGTGAGGGGGAGGAGGCGGGAGAGGGGGGGGAATAGCACGAGGGAGAGGGGGGTCCACAGCAGAGGATGCACGACGAGGAGGAGGACGTGGGAGGGAGGCGGAGGATGCAGATGACAGGAGCGGCGAGGAGCACGAGGAACACGAGGCGGGAGCACGAGGAGCGCGAGGAGGGAGCGGGGAGGCAGACGGGGGCTGCAGGAGAGGAGCGGGAGCAGCGAGTGCAGGCGAGAGGAGGGGTGGGCGGGGGGGGGGGGGGGGCAGGGCGAGGCATGGGAGGGGGGGGGAGGGCGGGGGAGGGCACAAGGAGAACGAGCGAGGAGGAGAACGAGGGCGGGGGAGGGGAGCGAGGATGGAAGGGAGAAGGGCGGAGGGAGAAGGGATGACGAGTCGAGAGAAGAAAAGAGGGAACGAGGGGGGGGGAGACGAAGGAGGAAGTCGGGTGAGCCTTCGTGGGGGCCTCTCTGGCCCTCAGCGGCCCTTGACTTTGACAGGAGTTCGTCCGGATTTCGACCACCCCGCTTCACCCTTTCGTCCAAATGTCGTCCAAAAGCTCGTCCACGGGTCGTCCAGACGACGACCAAATCCGACGACATCCAGACGAACCCCCCCAAACCGAGATGAATTGTGGTAGCCTCTGAGGCACCCCTGAAGGACATGTACGGAAGGACGACATGGGGAGGGCGAAAACAGGACGAAGGAGAAATGGCGGACGATGGAGGACAGAAAAGGCGAGAGGAGGGATCGGATCGGCAGTGGACAAACCTCCCTTTCGTAAACCACCCTTTAGTGAAAGCGGCCTGGGACCGAAACCGACGGGCCTGGACCCGCAAAAACAACGGCCGCGACGCCCCCTCGCGAACCGAACACGTCCAATTCACGAATCGACGCGTCAGGGTGGGAGGTCCAGCAACCTCCGAAGGGAGGAAGGGGAAGGAGGGAGAGGAGCCCAGGCGGGAGCACCGGCGGCAGCGGCAGCACCAGGTGGTCCTGGGACCAGCGTATACGGCAAGCAAGCAGAGGGAGTTCCGGGCAGGTGGGAGCGCGGCGTAGGACAGGAGGGCGTCGGAAGCAGACGGGGGGGCTCCTGCGCCGCTCTGGCCACAGGCCCGCAAGGAGTGGCCTCCGACCCTCGATCGAGATAGGATGAAGGGGCCCTGGGACACACAAATAAATACACACAAATAAAAATATCCCCCATATTTTCCTATATTTTCTGGGTTTTTGTCTTCCCCCCCACTTCCCATATTTTCCTATATTTTCCTGGGAGTCGACGATTAATTGTGTCTGTGTGTTTTTTCCCCTCCTGATAGGAGGGCATTCGGAGCAGAATGAGGCCTGGCAACATACGATTAAGACCTTCAGCGGCCGACTTGCCATCGCTCCGACGTCCGTTCCCCGTGCACTGCTTGGTTTCGTGCGATGTTCATTGGATGGGTCAGATCCCCGAGGTGGTCCAGATTCTCTGGCGATGGCCTCGCCGAACAAAGTGCATACGGCAGGTTCGTGTCGTGTCGACCCCGGCGTTGGTTTCTGACACCGCGCTGGATCGTTCAACCTTGAACGATCGGCCGTCTCCGCAACGTCCGACTCGTTCCACATCGAACGATTCTGGGTCGCCCGCGGCGTTCAACGTTGAACGCCCGCGCTGGGGTCGCCGCTGGTCGACACGACGCAAACCTACCGTAACTATGTCCGAGCAAGGCCACGCTGATGAGCAGCTGGCGACCTCCTGCTCAGCAGCCTGGGAACAGACAAGCGGACGGGTTGCGGCAAGCTGCTGGCCGCAGGCCATCGAATCCTCGACACGCTCCAGGTATCATCCTGGATCGCCTTCTAATGGCCTCGGGTGCCCATTCTTTCCTAGCGAGATTAACCAATGACCCTCTGTACGACGAGAACTTTGCAAAAACAAGATGCGTTTGCCACGGGATACCTCTTGAAGGTGGTAAACTTGGCAAAGGGTCTGTAAAAGAGGTGGTGAACTTGAACGGGCCCCGGGGCCCGAAAACGACCCGCGGAGGCTGAAGTAGGGGAAGTATACCAGGATCCGCCAGTGGCGCGTGGGGGGGGTTAGATGTGCTTAGCTGGATCGTCGGCGTGCTCCCATCGAGGGAGTGGCGGGCGAGCGCGAACGACGGCACATGAGGCTCTTGCGCCATTCCCCAAAAACGTCTCTCCGTTCTGAGGCGTATTTTGCTGACGGCACCTGGGCCCAGGCAACATGCCGAAAATGGTGGAACAAAAACTCCAACGCGACCTTTTCACGCTTCCAAACGTGTGGCGAAAACCAGGCACCCAACAATTCGCAGCCCCAGGACGCCCGACCCTTGCCCCGAAGGGCACTTTTTCAGTGTCACCCGAAAGCGGCCTCCAGGGGCCGAAGTAGCCCCTTGGCCTCTAGGGGGCCGACATGTACCACGGAAGTCCTTCGCTGAGCTCCTCGGAGCACGTTTCGTTCTTTTCGGCGATAATGGGCATTATAGGGGACGGGAGGGGGGGGGGCGGGGGGGGGGCATAATGCAACGCCTCCCCCCCGCCGTGCGCACGGCGGCAGTGCCTGGAGCGCACTGGGGGGGAGGGGCGTTACGTTGTAGGGGGGGAGGGGGAGGGGGGGCCAGGGGCTATAATGCCCTTTATGCCCCAAGGCCCAAGCAATAAAGAAACACGCTCCTTCGCTGAGCTCCTTGTCCCCTCGGCCGACAGAGCACGACGCGGTGCATACACCGAGCCCCCTCCGAGGACGGGCAAGAGAGAGCGCGAAGGCGCGGGCTCGCCCCGCAGCTCGCACTGCAGCGGCCTCAGCGCCGCCAGCGCGGCGCAGCTACGCGCAAGGTCCTCCACCTCGGGCCCGCGCGCGCGGGCGGGTGAGCATTGTTGAACCGATCCCCATCCCCAGCGGCGTGGCCTGAGCCCCACTGGCCGATGTACCCCCCTAGATGGGGATATCGGTCGTTCCCTTCGGGTTTCGAGGGGTGTATCCCCAACTGGGGTGGTAATTTGGTGGGGGTCTCGAAAGGGATGGGGATGGGGATGGGGATTGGTTAAGCGATACCGAGCGGGGGCGGGCCCCGGAACGGCTCCCGCCCTGAGATGTCAAGAACGCTGCAAGATCAACGCACTTTCCGTTTTGAGGACAACTTTGTTGTTCCGTCTCGGGGCTCTCGCTCGAGCGGTGTTCGGTACGGTTCCGTGTTGTACTGCCGCTGTTCGTACGCTTTGGGCTGCCGCATCCTTCCCCAAGGCTGATTGGCCGAGAACCGACACATTGACATCGCGGAGAGAGAGACAACGCCCAGCCTGTCCGCGAGGGGGATCGGCCTCTGGGGACTCCTCGGCCAGTGGGTGGACGTGGATGCACCTGGCCCCCGCAGGGCCCGAGTAGATCCACATCCACCGCCCGCCCAGGTTCCCAGGATTGAGGGGGGGCCGACCGTCCCGGCCATCCTGCGAGTCTACAGCGGCATGCTCTTGGAGCTAACTCATGCCATACGCACACCAGCAAAAACAACAACATCAACAACAATGCTCTTATAACAAGAGGCCGCTACAATGAAACATAACGGTCTCAGTCAGAAACGTTCTAAGAACATCTCGCGCAAGCCACAACAGGTTCTTAGAACATCACTTGCATGGATGGCCTGAAGGCGAGCCATGACGCTTCGCAACCGCTCGACAAAGATCAATTATACGCTTCCCAGATGGAGTCCGAGTAGATGTGTCGGAAGCTGGGCGAAGGCTGGCAAATCCGTGGCTGCTAAAGCGGTCTCCCCGCAAGAGAAAAGCACATGCCCGAAATAAGCAATTTCCAAGAGCTCCGTTTTAGTAGCCAAGGGGGGTGCCAGCCTTCGCCTGGCTTCTGAGAGGATCGCGCCGCATCGGCGATGCATCGAGGATGCACCGGCGATGCACTGGCAAAGTCGGCGATGCACTGGCGACGTCGGCGTGGAGAAACTCGGGCTCCACATCGAGCCGCATCGCCGATGAATCGGCGATGCGGCGCGATCCTCCGACCCCATCTACTTCCACCCCATCTGAGAGGCCTAGAACAACAGCCCAGGCGGTGGTCATGGATCAATCCACGCCTCGGACTGCCACCGTCGGCGGCTTCGCCGCCGCCGCCGCCCCCTCCGGTGGGCCTCCCCGGGAGGGCCTCCCGGGTGGGGCCCGAGGCACGCCCCGACCGCGGCCCGGCCGGCGCCCCAGGTGGGCTCTCCAGTCTCCACACACGCTCCTCCTCGCTCGCTCCTTCTCTTCGTCCTCCCTCTCGTTCTCTGGCTCCGCCGCCTCCCCCCTTCGCACCCCCTGTGGCCTCCTCCCCTCCTCCCTGGCCGCCCCCCACAGTCTCCTGTTCCTCGACCTCCTGCCGCTCGTCCTGATCACGCGCCTGCTCTCATTCCTGATCATGGCCCTGCTCTCATGCCTGATCTTTGTGCTTGCTTCACTGACGCTTTCCCGTGATCCAGATCTTGCTCTTCCTCCCTCCTGCTGCTGCTTCTCCTCTTCAGCCACCTCCTCTTCCTCGTTCCCCGCCTCCCAACCCCATCATTCACCTCCGTATCCTCTTCGTTTTCCTCCACACCAGCTTCAAGCGTGTATACATACATACATACATATATGTATGTATGTGCATACGTATGTATTAGTAGCACATAGAAATGTATGCATACATGCATGTACACATATAAAGGGAAATACAGAGAGAGCGAAAGCAATGCGGAGGGGCGGATGATTGAGGGGTGGAGGGGAGGGAGTAGGGAGGTAGGTGATGAGTAAGTAGTCAGAATAATAGCGGCGCGCTCCAGACAAAAAAAACAGATGGGTGGAGGAGGAGGCCGAGAGCAGGGGCACGAAGGGGTCATGCGAGCACTGCCTTGGCGTCATCCCGGTGCTGCAGCAGCAGTGTCAGGTGCGTCAGCGCGTCCTTCAGGTAGCTGCTCTGCCTCGCGCGTTCCCCGGTCGTGTCAAGACATCGTCGCCGTCTGCAGGTCGTCCTGGTCATCGGTCGTCGTCGTCGTCATCGGTCGTCGTCGGTCGTCGTCCGTCGAGGATGCAATGTTGTCAGTTTCGGCGCGACGCTCCATTCAGTTCGTGACACTGGCTGCCCCACGTGTTTGTGTGCGTGTGTGTGTGTGCGCGTGTTTGTGTGTGTGTGCGTGTGTGTGTGCGTGTGTGTGCGTGTGTGTGTGTGTTGTGCGCGTGTTTGTGTGTGTGTGCGTGTGTGTGTGTGTGTGCGTGTGTCTGTGTGCGTGTGTGTCAGTGTGTGTCTGTGTCTGTTTGCGTGTGTGTCAGTGCGTGTCTGTGTGTGTGCGTGTGCGTGTGTGTCTTTGCGTGTGTGTGTGCGCGTGTGTGTGTGTGTGTGTGTGTGTGTGTGTGTCTGTGTGCGTGTGTCCGTGTGTGTATGTGTGCGTGTGTGCGTCTCTGTGTGAAGGGAAAGTACCCCTCGGGGAATCACCTCGCCACGTCGGCGCAGGACGTCTGCGGATGCCGCGCCACTGGCGCGCAGTGGCTGCCCGTGGCAGGGGCCAATCCAGGGTTGTTGCTGGGGGGGCCGTCCCCACCCCCAGAGGTAAACATCACTGAGGTTCCATATGTTGCTGGATGATGTTGGCGTTCTCGCCTTTTCGGGCATCCAACTCTCCAAGACGGCCCGAAAGGCGCCAGATATTGCACTAAGACCACTCAAGAGGCCGCCAAGAGGGACACAGGACGGCACAGAATGGCCTCAGGACGACCCAAGAGGCCAGCAAGATGGCTCAAGAGGGCCCAAACAGGGGTTCAGCAGGGGAAGCTCGAATTGACATTTTCGAGCCCTCCATCCCAAGATGACCCCCGAGACCGCCAGCAGGCCCACAAGAAACCCCACCCAGCAGGCCCAAATCAGGACTCAAGAAGCCCCCAAGATGCCCCCGAGAGGCTCCAAGACACAGCAAAACGGCCTCCGAGAGGCTTCCGAGATGCCTTCCCAAGATATCCCCGCAGGCATCCAAGAGGCCTCTGGCCTACAACCCAGGCGCGGTGGTGGGAAGAGCCAAAGGCCACTAGATCCGCCGCCCCCTGTTGCTTGCAAGAGGGGTGCCTGGCGTGCCAAATCCTATCTTTTTGGTTGTGGTTCTTTTCCACAAGAACTCCCCCTGGGGCTCCGGCGCGTCCCGCTGGCCACCTGGAAAGGACCTCAATCCGGAAAAGAATCCTCCAAGACAGCTCCAGATGGCCTGCAAGATGGCCACGTAGACCAAAGATGGCCTCCAAGTCCGCCCAAAATGATCCAAGACGGCTTCCAAGACGGCCCAAGAGAGTCCAAGATATCTCCAAGCTCGCCCGAGAAGCCTCCAAGACGGCCCAATACGACCCAAGAGGCCTCCAAGAGGTCCTCCAGGAGGGCCAGAAGAGACTAAAATCACTGCTATCCTTCGGGTTTGGAAGGATTGGGGAATTTGCTTCTTCTCGGCATTCCGACCGCTCAAGACGGCCCAATTGGCCCCCAAGATCGCCCCAAGATCGCCCACGAGGCCTCCGAGATGGCCCCATGACGGCCCAAGAGATCCCCAAGACGGCCCCAAGAGGGCCCAAGATGGCCTCGAAGACGGCCCTGAGATGCCCCGAAAGGGCCCCAAGACGACCCGGACAGGCCCCCATGATGGCTTCCGACGGCGTCAGACAAGCCAGGAACGCCCTAAGACGGCCGAGGAGACCCCAAAGGAGGCCCCAAAGAGGCCTCCAAGAGGCCCCCAGCAAGCTCCCTGGAGGCCGCAAGAAAACCCCAAGAGGCACCGAAGAGGCCTCCTCCTCCTCCTTCTGCCTCCCTCTCCTCTCCTTCCTCCTCCCCCACCGTGTTCCCCGAGCGCTTTCCAAACCGATTCGGGGAACACATGGTCCGATAGCTTGGCAGGCCTCTGGCCACAACGTTCGGCCACACAGGCGTTTCCAACAAGGGAGGGGCCGGCGGTGATTCGCCGTGGGCGTCTTCGATAACCAGACTCGGAGTGCCGACGGCGTGCGAGCCGAAGGACACGAGGGCACTGCTCCACGTCACGCGCAAGACGTCGGCCCGAAAACACTGGCATCCCCCCCCAGGAGGAGGAGGAGGAGGAGGAGGAGGAGGAGGAGGAGGAGGAGGAGGAGGAGGAGGGAGGAGGAGGAGGAGGAGGAGGGAGGAGGAGGAGGAGGAGGAGGAGGAGGAGGAGGAGGAGGAGGAGGAGGAGGAGGAGGAGGAGGAGGAGGGCTCCTCTCCTCCAATGCTCCTGGCCCTCCCTGCACTCCCCCTGCGCCTCTCGGCACGCGGGACCCCCCGCCGCCGCGTCTGGCACATGCGGCCCGGAGAGCGGGCGCGCGCACGGCGCCGAAGCACGAGCTCGTGAGCGCTGCCGCCCCTCGCTCTCCCGGCTCTCCACGCCCGCTGCCCTCCCCCCTCCGAGCAGGAGGGCGGCGACGCAAAAGCGACGACGCGACGAGCGAGGGCGGCGACAAGGACCAGGACGTGGAGAAGGGGGGGTGGGTCGGTGGAGGGAGATGGAGGGGGAGAGAGGGGAAGGAAGGGATGGGGGAGGTAGAGGGGAGGGGGCGTTCAAAACGTCCACAGAGGTCAACATAACTAATGTATCCTCCTCGTCCTCCTCGTCCTCCTCATCCTCCTCCTCCCCCGTCCCTCTCCTCCTCATCGCCCTCCTGTTCCACCCTCATGTCTCCATACTCGATGCCTTCAACAAGGCAATCCGCTTGAAAATTGGCTCCGCTTGCAACCGGCCTCGACCTACGTAAATACATGACCGCAGCCGCTGCCAGGTCGGGGCCTGAAAAAGACCCGAACCAGAGCAGAACTTATAAGGACCTCTGGGGGCCTCCTCATCCTCCGCCTCCTCCTCCTCCTCCGCCTCCTTCACCTGCGCACATGAGTGACCCTGGACAAGGGTGACGTTTGTTCGCGGCCTTGGGGTGGCGTGGGGAGGGGGGCGGGGCCAAAACCAAGCTCGCAAGCCGCTGCTGACGCATCGCCGTCGTCCGTCGGGGAATCTGACCCCAGCGGTCACGCACCAGAGTACGCTCTGGCGAGAGGTTATCGGCGATGCGGGGCGGTCCTCAGGCCTCTGCTCGGACCCCGTCTGAGAGGCCTAGATTAATCGGGCCCTCCACGACGATTTCACGAGCTCGCGATCGAGGTCTGCAACGGGCAAGGCCAAACCAAACCGAGCCAAGCAAACCCTGGCGAGGAACCCCTTTTTCTAAAAACACTGCGACTATAAACAGGACCGTTCAATACACACGAACGCACTGAGGGATCTTCAGTGCCCGTGAACTCTTCGCCGACGAGCGCCAGACCGCACTCAACGTTGCCCCATGCACGCACGCACTCGCACGGCTCAAATGGCAAGCGGGGGTGGCACGACGCGCGCGAGGGGTGCGCAAGAATGGGGGCGGGTCACCACGCGGACGCAGCCACGGGGGCCTTCGGTGGAACGCCCTATGGGGCCACGAACCGCGTGAGGGGTGCGCCGAAATGGAGCGGGCCACCATGCGGGCGCAGCCTCTGGAGCTTTGGGTGGAGCTCTCTTTGGGGCCACGAAACGTGTGATGGTTGCGACGAAATGGGGCGGGTCACCATGCGGACACAACCACTAGTGCTTTCGGTGTAGCTCCCCAGGGGTCCACGAAGCGCGCGAGGGGAGCGCCAGAACGGGGCGGGCAACCATGCGGACGCAGCCACGTGGGCCTTCGGTGGAGCGCCCGATGGAGCCACGAAGCGTGTGAGGGGTGCGCCAACACGGGGGCGGGCCACCAGCCTCTGGAGCCTTCGGTGGAGCGCCCTGTGGGGCCTCGAGGCGCGTGACGGGGGCGCCGAAATGCAGAGGGAGGAGGATGAGGACGAGGGGGAGGAAGGAGGCTGAGAAGGAAGGAAGGGCGGAGGGAGGCGAGGAAGGAGGGAGGACGAGGGGGAGGAAGGAAGGAATGATGAGGACGAGGGGGAGGAAGGAGGCCGAGAAGGACGGAAGGAAGGGAGGGAGGGAGGGAGGAGAGGCGACGAGGCGCTGCGAACCCCGAGCGAGGGCCCAGCGCCCAGGAGGGCGGGGAATAGAGTATGCTGCGTCTTCGGGGGGGGGGCCTCGTCTGTCCCGTCGAGCCCCCGTCCGCGTCGAGTCCGCGTCGAATCCATGTCGGACTCGTCGGGTCCGTGTCGAGTCCCGCGCCGAATCCGCGTCGCATGCACGCCAAATCCGCGTGGAGGCCGCATCGAGCCCGCGCCGCGCACGAGGAAAGGCACCCATTTTTGGGGGACAGGCGGGGCCCCCCGCAGGTGCAACGCAGAAGAAGTGGGTGAGCCGAGGGGAGGGCAGGTCCCGACGCCCTCTGCACTCCTGGAGGCGGCCCCTCCTCCTCCTCCTCCTCCTCCTCCTCCTCCTCCTCCTTGCGCGGAGGTGGGCGGCCTGAACTTCGGGTTCTCGAACGCCTCCAGGAGGACCTCGGGGGGGCAGGAGGCGGCGGCGGGGCGACGGGCGAGGGCTCTGCGCCGCCCTGCTCCCTGCCCCCTCCCAGGAGGAGCTGGGGGAGAGCAGGAGGAGGATGACAGGGGCGAGGAGGAGGAGGAGGAGGACGAGGACGAGGACAAGGAGGAGGAGGAGGAGGAGGAGGAGGAGGGGGAGGAGGAGGAGGAGGAGGAGGAGGAGGAGGAGGAGGGGGAGGAGGAGGAGGAACGGGAGAAGGAGGGGGGAGGGGAAGCGGTCGGAAAAAGGAGACCAAGGGAAAGGGGGGGCCTATCGCTGACGACAACCTCGGCGCTCTTCTTCCTCGCGAGATAGGGTAGACCGCCCTCGCACACCAGGAGGACGAATAGCGGGATGAGCAGGAGGGAAAGGAACGGAATAAGGAGAAGGAAGATATGAGGGAGGGGGAGAAGAATGGGAGAGGGAAGGGAGGGGAAACTAAATGGGCAATATACGGGGTCTTAGGGAGGAAGGTCCTGGAGGGGCTTCGGGATCAGCAGGGAAGAAAAAGATGCTGAGTGAAGGAGGAAGAAGAAGAAGAAAGGCAAAGGGGGCAAACGGGGGAGGGGGGAAAACGATTGAATCATGGGGATGGAAACGAGGGCGAAGAAGATACGATGGATAGACGCAGACACGCACTGTTGGAGGTCGCGGCCTCGCACGCGACGACGAGGCGAAAAAAACACAAGGGCACCGGCCGCGGCCCCGCGAACGCCGGGCTCACGTCCGCCGCCGTGCCGCGAGGCGCGAGGTGAGCTTTCCCCAAGCTCGCAGTGCTCTCCGTCCTGAGTCCTGTGCTCTAGTACTCTATCCAGGGCTCCCAGCTTCGCGCTTCGCGCTGCGCGAAGCGCGAATAACTTCGCGCCCTCGCGCCGCCCCCCAAGGGGGAGAAAAGGAGGACGAGGAGGAGGGGGAGAAGGAACGAGGACCGCGAAGCGCGAAGCGCGAATAACTTCGCGCCCTCGGGGGAGCCCTTGGCTCTAGTATTCTATGTGCCGGGGCCCCACATGCTCGGACTGATCGGGCTCCACTTGCCAGAGCGGCGCCCTGCCAACCTGCCTCAAGGCATGCGCCCTCGCTGCGGCCTGCCCTTCTATGCAAGGGCTCCTAAGTTCGCGCTTCGCGCTGCGCGAAGCGCGAATAACTTCGCGCTCTCGCGCCGCCCCCCAAGGGGGAGAAGAGGAGGACGAGGAGGAGGGGGAGGAGGAAGGAGGACGGCGAAGCGCGAAGCGCGAATAACTTCGCGCCCTCCTGGGAGCCCTTGTCTATGTGTGTGGAGCGCCGTTCGGCGCCTTGGCCTCAGAGCAGGCTTCCCCATCCTGTTCGGGCTCCGATTCGCCGAGCGGCGCTCTGCTGACTGGCCTCGGAGCATGTGCGCGTTCGCTGCTCCTCCTCCCATGGGCAGAGCACCGCCCTGCTGCTTTGGCTCAGAGCATGCGCACCCGCTACTCGTGATTCATTCACCCGAGGGCCCCAGAGCGGCCGAGAGGGCTCCAAGAAGCGCCCAAGGGGTCCGAGAGGCATGTTATGCCATGATACATGCTGTCACGATATGCTATACGATGGATGATATGTCATATATGTTGCTACGCGTTCTGTCATGCTCTCTAGTTTCTGATAATGTGGTATGATGTGGCGTGTGATGACAGGGTATGTTGTGTTATGGTATACCATGTTATAGGTGTTGTGGTGCTCTGATATGTTATGGTATGGATAATCCGAGCTATCATAGGACGCGTTCTTCTGCTGCGGTGTGCTACGGTAGGTTTTGTCATGGCCTGCGAGGCTGTGGCATGCTCTGTATTGGTGTGTTCAATGCTGCGGTGATTTGTTATATAATACTTTCTTTGTCATGACTTGTATTGCCATGTTATGGTGTGCTGTGATGCTGTGCTATGGTATGCACGGCTATGCCATGGTGTTGTATGTTACGATATGGTCTGACACGATGTAACATGTTATGCTCAGATCTGTCATAATCGGTGGTGTGATCTTATGCTCCGTTCTGTAGGGGCCTGGCCGCAGTATGCAGAGTGAACAAGTCGGAGCGGGAGGCGGGGACCCTCAGGGATTACCGGGGGACCTGGGGAAATGGCGGCCGCAATATGCAGACTGGGGGAGACCACCAGGGATTATCGGAACCCTGGGGATCTGGCGGCTGCGGTATGCAGAGCGGGGGGGGGGGGGCGGGACCACCAAGGATTATCGGGAGCCTGGGGATCTGGCTGTGATTAGAACATCAGCCCGATGCGGTAAATCAAAACAGTCTCAGTTGGAAATGCTCTAAGAACAGTTCATGCAGACCACAAAGACGTTCTTAGAACATTCTGTGGTGGGCCTAGAGGCAAGCCAAGACGCTTCGCCACTGCTCGATCCTCGCTCCCGACTCCTGCGCCGCGCCGCCCCCGAGGAGAAGACCGCCACGTCCGGGATCTGGAAGTTCTCGAGCCGCCGCCGCAGCCTGCCGAGGTACGTGGTCAGCAGGTTCTGGTCGAGCCAGTCCTCCCCTCCCCCGGGGGGTGGGCCGAGGATCGAGACGAGCACGGCGAGGGCGAACTTACTCCAGGGTCTGTTGCCAGGGACACCTCGCAGGCTGGGCCAGTTGACGTCCCCCTTGCCCTCTCCTTGGTCTCCCCTCTTCCCTCCTCCTCCTCCTCTGCCCCTCCTCCTCCTCTGCCCCTCCTCCTCCTCTGCCCCTCCTCCTCTGCCCCTCCTCCTCCTCTGCCCCTCCTCTGCCCCTCCTCCTCCTCCTCCTCCTCTGCCCCTCCTCCTCCTCTGGCCCAGCTGTGGGGTAATGTCTGTTGCTGTGCGCGGGCCAAGCCAGGCTCGATCAGACGCACCTCAGGTCCGCTGAGACCCGCTGAGGAGAGCCGAGGCTCGAGACTCCAGGCTCGAGGATGAGGGGGAAGAGGAAATCAAGTTTCGGTGCCAGAGGGTATGGGCTGGAGGAGGGGGAGCATCGAGGCTTCAGAACGTCTGGTGCCGTCTTGGGGGCCTCCAGAGACCTCTGGAGGCCTCTGGGGGCCTCTGGCGGCCGCCAGAGACCCGCACAGAGATTCGGAGGCCGACGACTCGATGCTGGTGCTGCCGCGCCACCATCGCAGCCGCCTCTTCCCCCCGTCCGCCTCCTGCTGCTATGCCTCCTCCTCTCGTCCGTTTACACTGCTCCACCTTCTCTGCCTGCGTCTCGGCCTCGTCCTCAATCTCCGCCTCTCCCCCGCCAAAACCTCCCCTATCCTGCTCAAGCGACTTCTCTTCACTTCAACCACAACCTCCACCGCCACCTCCACCTCCTCCTCCTCCTCCTCCTACTCGTTGTTCCCCTCCACTGGCCTCCCAAGCCCAGTGTCGGCCAGAGGGGGTCAGGGGGGAACTGGTTGAACCGTCACACGCGCCCAAGCTTCAAGCTTCAAGCGCCACTGGAGGCCTTCGCCTTCCAGATGGGGTCCGCGTAGATGGGGTCGGAGAATCGCGCCGCATCGGCGATGCATCGTCGACGTCGACGATCCCTGGGCGCCGTCGCCGTGGAGAAGCTCGGCCTTCCCATCGAGCCGCACCGCCGATTCATCGGCGGCATGCGGCGCGATCCTCCGACCCCATCCACTCGAACCCCTCTTGAAAGCCCCAGAATTACGCGCGCTGAGCCCACGCCGCGCGCCGCTCCCAGCTTCTTGGGCCTATCGGAGGCCTCTGAGAGGCCGGCGCGATGCGGCGGCGGTGACGGCTGCAGCCACGCTGCCCGAGCACACGGTGGTGAGCTGAGCGCGGCGGGCCCCTGGGGAACAATGTCTGCCCGCGAAGGGAGCCACAGGGCAACAACAACGACAACAACAAGACCAACAACACCAAATACACCAGAAGCAAGTAAACGAATCACAACTATAACACCAACAGCACCATCAACAACAAACAACAACATCAGAAACAACAACAACCACGATACCAAAAACAACAAAACCAACAACACCAACAACAACAACAGCAACAATAACAACAACAACAACAACAACAACAACAACAACAACAACAACAATCATTTAAGACTGGGGACACTCCGTTCTCACCAGTGCCAGGGTTTTCATAGGAGGCGGGCAATACCCCCACTTTGTGGGGGGGCCGGTTCAAGCTCTACCAAATTTCCAAACGACTCTTCGCCACCACCCACACCCAGCTTCCCGCCCTATGACGTTCGGACACTTCACTTCGTGGCATGCGGACGACCGTGGCTACTATTCAGGGCCCCGCGGCCGACGACGACGGCGTGCGCGCGCGAAGAAAAAACGAATGTGTCCCGCATGGTATTATTTGACAGGGATGATGGCCCTGGCAGGTGCGCAACCGTTGTCGCAGAAGTTCGAAAAAGTTGCTCGCAAAAGCCCGTTTGACAGAAATGTTTAAAAAGTGTTGGGTTTCCTACGAATCCGCAAGAGCGCGCGGGATGAGATTTTGACATTTTTTTGTTGAAAAACCATTGGTTTTTTGATGTTTTTATGTTAAAATCGCTCCGAACACTAAGCTTTTGGAAGGATTTCGTCTTGCGCGCGCGAATGTCCACTTTACCTTATTTTTTGCAAGGGATTCTTGAAATTTGATTATATTAGAACAAGAAATGTCATTTTATAGTGTTTTTTGCAAGGGAAAACGGATTACAACAAAACAACCGGATCTGGATCACATCGTTTTACCTGAGGCTTCCTCACGAAAATGATGAAAATGTAGCTGCGGCCTAGGCGGCGCAGGGGGGGGCGTGCACCAGGGGGCCCAACAATAATTATTCTTTAGAATAAATAATGTTCAACAACAACAACAACAACAACAACAACAACAATCATCTTAAGACTGATCGCTCTTATATGCGCGCGCGTCACTCAATATGTAAATCCCAAACCCTCGATACCCACCCTCTTCGTCTTCGGTCATACCCCTTTGGGGGTATATCTTTTTTACTCGCCACGTGTAGTTGGCGCAGCCCCTAAAACAGGAAGAGCAGGGGGAAGGAGGAAGGGAGAGCGAGGAGGAAAAGAGTGGGGGGAGGGAGGGAGGAGGGAAGGGGCAAGGGGGGGAGGATGGATGGAGGACGAAAGAGGTTAGCAGGAGGGGAGGGGGGCAAAAGAGGAGGTAAACAAACGGACGAACCAGACAGACGGGTCGAGCGGCGGACTCTGAGGGGCGGGTCGGGCTGGCGGGGCGGGCGGACGCCAACGGACGGGTCGGGCGGCGGACCCTCGCTGGCGGGTCGGGCGGGCGGTGGCTTAAAGCGGGCGGGCGAGATGCCAAGAGAGCGAACGGGCGGGCTGTAACAGGCGGATCGGGCGGGCGAAACCTGGCGGGCGGGTGACTAAAGGGTGAATCCTGAATGAATCACGAGGCACACCCTCGATACCCGCCCTCTTAGTATTCGAACGTACCCCCTTTAGGGGGATTATTTCTCTTTGGAAGGGCGGGCGGAGGGACGAGGGAGGAGGGAAGGGAGCAGGGAGGGACGAGGGAGGAGGGAAGATGCTAGGAGGGACGGGACGCGGAGGGGGGAGGACGATTTAGAGGGAGAGAAAGAGAGAGAGAAAGAGAGAGAGGGAGAGAGAAAGAGAGAGGGGGGAGGAAGGGAGGGAGGAGGGAGTTTGGAGGAGGGACGAGGAAGCAGAGAGGAGAAACAGGAGGGAGGAGGGAGGAGGCAGGAGAGGGGAGGGAGGAGGCAGACGGGAGGACGGGAGGCAGGAGAGGGGAGGGAGAAGGGAGGAGGAGGGAGAGAGGGAGGAGGGGAGGGAGGAGGGAGGAGGGAGGAGATAGGAGGGAGGAGGGAGGAGGGAGGGAGGTGGGAGGCCGACCCGGGGAGGCCGCCCGGGGACCGGCCGTGGAGAGACCGCACAGGCTCCCGCAGTCTCGAGGGCGGAGGGCCCGCCCCCGAAACAGAGGAGGGAGAGTCCCAGGCGGGAGCGCCGATCCTGGATTACCGCAGATACGCTGCACACGTGTCCCTGGGCGGCTGGGCGGTGTCCTCGGAACAATTGTTTCGAGCGGCGCCCGGCCGTGGCGACGGGAACCTGCAGAAAGGACCCCCGAAAAAGTGTTGTGAGCACGGTGGGGGCGGGGGTTCGGAGTAATTTGCGAGGAAGTCTCAGGCGGGAGCGCCTCCGCCTGAGTAAACTGCGAGGAAGTCCCAGGCGGGGGCGGGGGTCCTGAGTAAATTTGGAGGAAGTATCAGGCGGGAGCCGTTGTTGTTGTTGTCCGGGGGGCCAACAACGCAGTTTGATGCCCACGACTTTCCCTGATAAAAAACAGGGTGCGAGCCCCGGAAGGGGCACTTCAATTGAAAAAATACAATGTCCGCCGGAGGGGGGGGATCAACAATAATTATTCTTCAGTAATTAGAGTTCAACAACAACAACAACAACAACAATTACTAGCACGTGGGGACACTCCGTTCTCACCAGTGCCAGGGTTTTCATAGGAGGCGGGCAATACCCCCACTTTGTGGGGGGGCCGGTTCAAGCTCTACCAAATTTCCAAACGACTCTTCGCCACCACCCACACCCAGCTTCCCGCCCTATGACGTTCGGACACTTCACTTCGTGGCATGCGGACGACCGTGGCTACTATTCAGGGCCCCGCGGCCGACGACGACGGCGTGCGCGCGCGAAGAAAAAACGAATGTGTCCCGCATGGTATTATTTGACAGGGATGATGGCCCTGGCAGGTGCGCAACCGTTGTTGCAGAAGTTCGAAAAAGTTGCTCGCAAAAGCCCGTTTGACAGAAATGTTTAAAAAGTGTTGGGTTTCCTACGAATCCGCAAGAGCGCGCGGGATGAATTTTGACAATTTGTTTTTGAAAAACCATTGGTTTTTTGATGTTTTTATGTTAAAATCGCTACGAAAACTAAGGTTTTGGAAGGATTTCGTCTTGCGCGCGCGAATGTCCACTTTACCTTATTTTTTGCAAGGGATTCTTGAAGTTTGGATTATTTAGAACAAGAAATTTCATTTTATAGTGTTTTTTGCAAGGGACAGCGGGGGGGAACAAAACAACCGGATCTGGATCACATCGTTTACCTGAGGCTTCCTCACGAAAATGATGAAAATGTAGCTGCGGCCTAGGCGGCGCAGGGGGGGCGCGCACCAGGGGGCCCAACAATAATTATTCTTTAGAAGAAATAATGTTCAACAACAACAACAACAACAACAACAACAACAAAATCGCCACCAACAACAACATCAACAACAACACACACCAACACAAACAACAACAGCAGCAACACCACACACGACAACAACAACACCACCACCACCAACAACAACAACAACACCAACAGTACCAACAACCATACCAATAGCACTAACAGAAAGACAGCAACACCACCCAGAAGAACAACACCAACAGCACCACCACCAACAACAACAATCGCACCAACAATGACAACACCAACAACAGCAATAACAGCAGCGACAACAACAGCCAACAACAACAACATCACTACTAACACCACCAACAACCATGACAACGATAACAACACAAGCGCCACCGACAACCACGATGACAACACTACCACCAAGAACAACAATCAATTCAAGACTGCTCGCTCTTACCTTCTCGCGTACCATTCATCACATATCCCACACACCCGATATCCGTCACCTTCCTTTTCGATCGTATTCCCCCGGTGATAGATGTATACATGCCATTCGTTCAGCCCCTGAAGCATGGGAAGAGAGAGCGGATGGAAGGGGAAAGGAGAAGGATGGACCACAGGATTCGCAGGAAGGGGGCTAAGAGCAAGACGCACGTGGAAAAACCAAACGGGCCCCTCGGGCGGGTTGGACCCTAACGGGCGGGTCTCGACGGTGGGCCCAAACAGCCAGGTCGAGAAGGCATGCTGCTGAACCGTGAGTGTTGCATGAATCGCGAGGAAATCTCGAGCGACACTGTGATTCCCAAGTAAATCGTGAGGAAAGCCAAGCCGAAAGCGTGCTTCCTAAGGATCGAGGGTGCGGCGTCTGAAAACATTATGAATAAGTGCCACTCGAGAGCACATTTCCTACAGGATGTGCGAGGAAATCCTGCGCGAGAGCGCGATGAGGGAACCAACCTAGAACAACAACAGCGGCAACAACAAAAACAGCATCAACCACAACAACAATCATTTTAAGACGGTTCGCTCATATCTGCCTGCGTGTCATTCAGAATGCATATCCCAAATTCTGGATACCCGCCCTCTTCGTTTTCGATCGTGTCCCTTTTTTGGGGGGGACATTCATTCCCTGCCACGCGTGGTCGGTGAAGCCCTTGAAAAGGGTAACAGGTCACGGGGGAGAGTGCGGACGAAGGGATCGGAAGAAGGGAGGGGCAAAAAAAGGGGGGACGACTATTTGCGCTGCGAGTGGCGATTCAGCTTGCGCCATGGCTTGCGCCAGCCACTCCAACACGGGTAAACAATAAGTTTCGCCAAAAGTCGCGCCATAAACAGCGCAACGTACCCCCCCCTTGAAAAAACAAATCGCGGATACCCCCACGGCGGGACGTACAGCTGCGAACTGGTGTCGGAAACAAATTTCGTGGAGTCCAAAAAAAAAGCGGGATGTTGGGAGAGTGGGGCGGGAGGATTTTATGAGAACTGCACAGGTGTCGAGAGGAACGCGGAAGCGCCAAGTGAGAGCGCGATTCTTCAATCATTGTGAGGAAGTAACAAGCGGGAGCCGCGATCCGGTGGTAAATTGCAAGGACGTCCCAAGCGAGAGCGCGATTCTTCAATACATTGTGAGGAAGTATCAGGCGGGAGCCGTTGTTGTTGTTGTTGTAAACAGGGGGCCCAAGACACAGTTTGACCCTCAAGAATTTCCCTAATACAAAAAAAACGGGTGCGAGCCCCGGGGAAGGCACTTCAATAGAAAAAAAATGTGCACCGGACGGGGGGGATCAACAACAATTATTCTTCAGAAGTGAGAGTTCAACAACGACTCGACATCGGGACAACGTCGGGACATCGGGGCACAAGCGTAAAATACTGATATCTCTACCCGTCGCTGGCACAACGCCATTGCCCTTTTAAGGTAATGAAGGCACGGTTCGGGGATCTTCTGACCCGGTTCAATCCAGACCCGGGTCAGCAGGAAACCCAAAAACTGCAATTCAGGAAACAAAAACTGCAACGCAGGTCTTTGCAAACCCGGGTCAACCAATATGCGCGGCCGCCTCGCGTCCACGAGCGGCTCGCTAACCCGGGTCAGCCAGAGGGGGGTCTTCGCAGGATCCTGCACAATCCGGTGCCCTGGCTGACTCCCGTTGGCATTGGTCCCCGTCTCAAGGCTCCCGAACGGTGCACACGCAAGCGCTACCGTGGGCGCAGCGCGGGCGTGCGTGCTGTCCGAGAAAGGCGGTAAGCGCCCACCAGGGTGGGCCACGGGCAGGAGGGAGGCGGAGAAGAGGAGGGAAGAATTGTAGTAAGGGCAACTGGGCGAAGGATCACCTGAATAAGAAGCGACCAAAAGAAGATAAACTTTGAGAACTGTGCGCGGATCGTCGTCGTCATGGCCCTCATCGTGAACGTCGTCGTGTCCCTCGTCCTAGCCCTCGTCGTCCGCGTCCGCGTCCTCTTCGTGGGATACCCCCCGCAACGGTCCATGCGCGAGAACGACCGGAAGATGTAGCACAGGTCGGGCTCCTCGCCACCGCCCGCGATGGGGCTTCATAGGTTCCAAGAATTATCAACCAATCTACGGGCCTCTGCCTGCCAGCGAGATGGCGGGGTGGGGAAGAGGCGGGAAGGAGGCGGTGCTCCAAAGTTGTCGCTGTCATTATTTGCGGTTGCTTTCGGATGCCGACAAAGGTTCCAAAACGTCACTGGAAGGATGTGCGGAAAGGAAGAAAGAGAAGATGTGGGATGAGGATCAGGAAAGCAAAACAAAAACATGAGACATGAGAAGGAGGAACGAGGACACGAAAGAGTCCGATGACAGGGGCGACAAGAGACTGGACTCTGTAGCGCGCGCGAGGCGCGGTCCTGTTGAGAGCGCAAGGGGGGGATGGGGTGGTGTGGCACTTAGTACGATAATAAGAAGGACGTTCCAAAGTGAGGCTTTCGCGTCTGCGAGAAAACGTCCATATGAAGAACACATTCGCTGAACATGATACGAATCATCATATTTTACGGCTATAAGGCTATGGGGCTATGGGGCTCTAATCATACTATTATACGGCTATTGGGCTATGGGGCTGTAGGGCTATATAAGGCTATGGGACTATAGGGCTATAGGACTGTAGGGCTATAGGGCTATAGGGTTTCAGGGCTATAGGGCTATGGGGCTATAGGGCTATATGGCCACAAAACTATGGGGTTATAGAGCTATCGGGCTATAGGGCTGGGGCTACATGACTATAGAGCTATCAGGCTATGGGGCTGTAGGGCTATAAGGCCATAGGGCTATAGAGTTATAGGGCTATAGGGCTAATGGGCTATAAGACTACAAGGCTATAGGGCTATTGCGCTATGGGGCTTTAGGGCCATTGCGGCTATAGGGCTATTAGGGCTATAGGGCTATGGGGCTATAAACCTATAATAAGGCTATAGGGCTACAAGGCTACCGGGCACCCGGGCACTCGAGCACCCATGCACCCGGGCAACCGGGCACCCGGGCAACCGGCACCAGGGCACCCGGGCGTGCCGCCGAAATCGGCGCCACACCTCACCTAACCATATGATGAATCCGCTTGGGCTACCGGGCACCCGGGCACCCGGGCACCTGGGCACCCAGGCAACCGGGCACCCGGGCAAGTCGCAATAGGGCTATGGGGCTATAGGGCTATAAAGCGATGGGGTTATAGGGCTACAGGGCTATGGGGCTATAGGGATGCTGGGATATAGGGCTATAGGGATATAAGGCTATAAGGCTATAGGGTTATATGGCCATTTGGGCTATAGGGTTATGGGGCTGTGGGCTGTAGGGTTATAGGCCTTCAGGGCTATCAGGGTATCGATCTATAGGGCTATAGGCTTACCATACTTCACCTGAACATATGAATCTGCTAGGATCCCTACAGAGGCAAGCCTTGATTGGGGAAACACAGCATGGGATAGCACTCCCTCGTCGGTCCAGAGTGAATACGTACCAATGGAACATAAGCTCTACTAGAACCCATCGTTTTGTGCAACATGCATCCACTCCCACAACAACGTGTCACACTCATCCCGACAGAGGGAATAACGACATGTACACTCAAAATGCTGTTCAAAACGATGCATGGACGAGTTAGCATATTATTTTAGGAATGTCGAGTATCAATCGGCTGTGTTGTCCAAATGTGATGTCAACATCAACTCGATGCAGTTTGCCTTGTCGCCGTCGTCCCCGAACAAATCGATGTCAGCTTGAATACTTACGAAACAAACGCTTTTGGCCTGCGCCTCATTGGTAAGGGCATCGGCACGAATTGCGCACACACTTAGATGCTCACCTAAGCCCATCACTCCCGGAGTAACGTCATATCCTGCATTTGACATTCGCAGTGTCTGCCTCACAATCTTGTTTACGAGCACTGATTTCTCGAACCTCAGCTATCTCCTCGGTCTACTGTATTGGGCACCTCAAAATACAATGTTGCATCTTCCTTCGAGGTCGGGTTCACCGCTGAAGGATGCTGGCACAACGCATCTCATCTGCTTGCATATCCGCGCGCCAAATTTGACAATTCTCTCGCACCGGGTCGGTAGACTACACCCAATTGCGTATGCGAACCTTGTGCTCTTCTGCCTCGAACCCGCTTTATGCTGCCACTCTCTTACGGCGTAAGTTTCATCACTTTCTCAACGTGACAGTGCGATGCTCCTCAACCGATGCCGTGGCAAACACATGAATGAACACTATAAATGATGACTGTCGGCGGGCACGTCGTGAGCCACACCGTGCTGACTTGAAGGGCATCTCGCTGACTTGAGCCATCATTGCGAACTACGTAGATGAGGGCAGGCAGCGTGAAGGGAGGAGGGAAAAGAGGGGGGGGAGGGGGGACAGAGGGGAAGGGAAAACAAGTAGGGAAGAAGGAAGGGGCGAAGGACATGCAGCAGCAGTAAGGAGGAGGACGCGGAGGAGGTGCAGTAGCAAGGGGTGGGGGGGGGCGAGAGAAAATGCAGGAGCAGAAGGGGACCACGGGAAAAGTACTCCTGGGGACCAGTCGGACCAGGCGACACTTTGATACCACACCGCTGGCCACTGCGGCCAGGAGGACGACCACACTGTGGTGTGTTGTGGGTGGCCAAACCTGTTGGAGACTCGAGACGCCCAGGAGGCATCGTCGCCCACCAAGCCAAGGGGAGCAACGAAAGGTGACGTCCCGCTCTCGAACGCAGAGTCCCCGAAGCTGGGTGCGCCGCGCGCACCACACCGCCCGCTATCTAAACGTGCCTGCTGCAGTAGGCGCCGGTAGGAGAAGCCTGGTCTCTGCCACGCGGCAGGGCCTCGAACAGTCAGGGACCTGCCAGCATCGCGCCCCGCACTCCCAGTACTGCGCATCTCAAGGTGGTGGCAGGCTGCCTCGGCCTTCTCCCCCTCCTCCTGAGTCCCCTCTCCTGTCTGGAGGCGCATTTCGAGCCAAGAGGTTGCCCCGATGAGATGCGGGCTAGTCTCCCAGCAGATGTGCGACACGCCAGCGTCCACCCAGGATGGCCAACTGTGCCTGGAGTCATCCCATAAACTGGGACGATGAATCCCGAAGCGGATGTGAGGGGGAACGATAGGGGGGGATAGGCAAAGGGGGGGGAAACATCGGCTTGGAATCGGCGGTACCTCGCCGATAGATCGGCGATAGGCCCCCCTTTTGTGAATCCGCACGTTCCCGGGCAGGTTGGGGCTATCGAGACCCTCTGGCGATCCATGGGCCACTGGGGGTCGATGCATCCCCCCCGTATGCCTATCCCCCCCTTTATCGTTGCCACTGAGGACGACAGCAGTCATCCACACATGCGCCATGGTATTGCAATCGGCAGAGGCCTGGGGTGAGCGGGGCTCGTGCTCGGCGGAGCCGCCCCCTCTCGCTGCCCCTAGTTCTCTCGTCATGGACCTGCCTCTTCGGAGGCAGGCCACCGTCCTCGTCCTCGCCCCTCCCCTCATCTATCCCTCCATCCACCTCCCTCTGTGGGGAAAAAAGGACAGTCTGTGGGGAAAAAACACTGTGTGGAAAAATGGGGAAACCACACACACACACACACACACACACTAGTGGGGAAAAAACACAGACTTGTTTGTGCGTTTTTTTTCCACACAGTCTGTGTGATTATTTTCCCCACTGACTTTTTTGTGTTTTTTTCGCCCCCGGCTTTTTGTTCCTCCCCCCGCCTCCCCCTCCACATCAGCCTCCCTGTCCTGCCCGTGTCGCCATCATCCCCCTCATCATCCTCATCATCCCCCCGCCTCCCCCTCCTCATCATCCTGCCCTGTCCGCCTCCCCCTCCTCATCATCCTCCATGTCCCCCTCCTCATCAGCCCTCCCCCTCATCATCCTCCCCCCGCCTCCCCCTCCTCATCATCCCCCTCCTCATCATCCCCTCCTGCCTCTTCGGAGGCAGGCCACCGCCCGTGTCTTCGTCCTCGCCCTCCCCTCTAGACTGGGCCTCGGAACGCCTGCAGTTGGGGCATCCGCCCCGGCACCACAGAGGGGGCCGGCCACGAGGCAGACGAGATCTGGGGGGCGGCACTATTTCATCATCATTGGGTTGGGGCGGGATGGTCTCTCTCTCTCTCTCTCTCTTTCTCTCTCTCTCTCTCTCATTTTCAGCGTTCTATATATATATATATATATATATATATATATATAAGATCTCTCGGAGGTGAGGGGGTGAGATCGAAGTGGAACGGAGAGCCCCCCTACCGGGAAATCGATTTCGGATTCGTGTTCGCGCGTGCCGTGCGTGCGGCCGAGGCGAAGCAACGTGGGCGGGCGAGAGGAAAATCTCCTGTGGCTGAGGCGCGGCCGAACCAAATGACTCCCTTCCGGCAACCGGTGGGGCGCGGTGTCCCGCCGGTGTCCCGCTGTGGCTGAGGCGTGGCCGGACCAAATGACTCCCTTCTGGCGTCCGGTGGGGCGCGGTGTCCCGCCGGTGTCCCGTCGGTTTCCCGCTGATGATGATGATGATGATGATGATGATGATGATGGTGATGATGTCGATGATGTTGTTGTTGATGATGATGATGATGATGATGATGATGATGATGATGATGGTGCCCCGATTATGGTGATGATGATGATGAGGTTGAAAATGTTGCTGATGATGATGATGATGGTGATGGTGGTGATGATGATGGTGTCCCGATGATGATGCTGATGATGATGGTGACCTGGTGATGATGATGATGATGATGATGATGATGATGGTGCCCCGATGATGAGGACGATGATGATGATGTTGATGATCCGGATGATTATGATGATGATGAGTTGATGATGAGATGATGTTGATGATGGAGAAGAAGATGATGGTGATGATAGTGTCCCGATGATGCTGATGATGTTGATGATGATGATGATGAGAATGATGATGATGCTGTGGATGATGATGGTGATAATGATGATGATGATGATGGTGTCCCGATGATGATGATGTTGATGATGATGATAATGATGATGGTGTCCTGATGCTGATGATGATGTTGATGATCAGGATGATGATGA